TCCTCTAATACCGGGTCCTGGTAGGTTTGCCTCACATTTAAAAGGTGTGAGACCGACCTGGATGTGAAAGATACCAACAAATCGATCTACAACAGTCAACAGACTGTCCAACAGACTTTTACTATATGTTTTTCTCTCATATCTTTTAATCCAGCAAATTGCAGTGTAGTCAGTTTGTGTGGCAAGTCAAAGAGATGAAATCTGGCTTTGCATTCAGGTTTCAATTGAATCAGATTCGTTGCAGGATGGCATGGAGGAGATAAACTCCACTCTAGCTCAGTCGTCCCTCCCTGAGATGTCCATGACAAGTACTGACAGGTCAGAACTCGGGAGGTTTTCCATGCTTTTCCTTTGTGTATTTCTGTTTGAACCTGCAGGCCGAAGGAACATACCAAAACGTCCGGTATCGTCCGGTTGTTCAGGTTTGGTTGCACTCGAAATGATCTTGTTTAAGTATGTTTAAGTTCATCTCGTGTGTGTTGTGTTCGAAGGTTGCTAGCAAACCTGCCCACCTGATATTGCACCATACTGGACCACCTCATAGCAGGTGTTAGAAAATGTTTACGAAAATGTGTGTTTCGCCCCTTTTTGGGATTTTTTGGTCAAGTGACGTTGAGATATCTTGACTTTGCTTGATGGGACGACCATCGCTTCCATGTTCATGTCATAAGCCTCACCTATTTTCATGTTGCTCTCCTCACAGGACTGACATATTTTGAATTATTGACACTGGTCTGACTTGAGATAACTATACTGATGATACTGATGTGAGGTGATGTGTTTGATGCCATGCTGTTTTGTCAGGCCGAGGGCGCAGCCTGATATTGACACAGAAGATCATGAAGAACCTGGTGAGATGGCTGGAAAGGCACCAGTACAGGAACGCTCTGAGGAAATGCAATTCTTAAAGAAAGGTGGGGAAAAGGCGTGTAATTGGCAAATCATACATCGATGATCATCTATGTATATTGATATATGATGATATATGTATATGTATACACATAGACAGATATACACTGGATTTTGTATCTATGTATACGGTGCAAGCAGGAAGGATGGCACCTCGAAGGTTCTTCAATGATTCTCTGCAGGACAGGAGAGACCATTCCATTGTGCCCGGGGTCGACTGTCTACGAATTGACAGGATCTTGAGATTCTTTAAGACAGAAACTCTAGCTTCTGAAGGTTTTCAGGTTCTCGAAGATTCGTTGTTTCCGTAGCTTCAGAGTTCTCCGAACTCTTCAAGTCCACCAATAGTTGTTTCGGTTTAGATCCACATCGCCTGAGTCCATTCTCCCGTGGAAAAATTGAGCGCGGGCGACTTGCTAATGTAACCCATATATGCATGACCGGAGCAATTCCAGCAGGTGCGCGAAGGTTCTGAGTTCCAAACCACGGCTTTGAGTTTTCGAGAGGGTCACGTAAAGGTTCCACGAGGGAAGATTTCCTCTGCAGTTGGCACTGATGGCTGAAGAAGCTTTGGAGTCTTGTGCCGTCCGGGTTTTCTCAAAGCTCTTCACAGCTTCTATGTGCTTCTCAAAAACGTAAATGCTTTTTGGGACTTGCTTTAAGGTTGTTTTTCGGTTTCAGAGTGGGCGGTGAAGGCTTTGGTTACGCAGAGCGGGTGCTCTTTGAAGCAAGTTTCCTGCCCCAGATGTGGCTCATCCAAGTCCAAGATTCAACTAGAGTCTTAGAGGTACCTGAAGGTTCAGGTCTGTGAGAGGTAAGGAACCTAGGCATACCTAGGCACTGTTGGCCATGTCGACCTGCCTCTAAAGTTTTGTTTCATCTTGTGGCTGCGTTCCAGTAATCGCCCAATGTGTTCTCTGGCTCGCTTCGCGGGTGCGGCGAGCACAATTCTAAACAGCTCAGAATATCTTCAGTAGGGATGCATGCAGTCAGGTATTTGGAATTAGGACATCATAGGAGCAATGGCTTCCTAATCTGAGTGAGTCAGCTTCAGTTGTGATGTCATGCTCGCAGGGCGGAGGGCCTGGTTGGAATACGCGGATGCCTTCTGCAGGGTCCACAGCTCTCAGCTGTTGAAATTGCACTGCAGTCTTCGGGAACTCCCTTCTAAATCTTATAAACTCTTGTGAATGTTGAAGCATTGATTTGTGTTTGTCAATGATTTGTCAAGCATTGAAGGTTGGCTACTGCAGTACCGCTGCCACAACGCCACTGGCAAGTGCCTGGCCCTTAGACAGTTCATTGGCTGCCACTGGATTGTCAAGTGCTAAAGGCATTATCTCAGCACGTTAAGACCAGAATTATATGATCTAGGCTAAACGATCCAGATATCCAAAGTAAGTCAGATGGAACGGATTGGAAAATCATTGCAATGTCTGCAATGTCTATGAAATTCTGTCAATGCCGGCCGATAATTTCGCCCAAGGCCACAGCATCGGCCATGCCTTCTACACCCCAGGAAGGAAGAAGTGGAGAGCTGACGCCCCGAGGGTCTCAAGCACCACAGCAGCAAGCCATTGCGATCTGAGTTTAAGGCACAAAGGTAGCAACAAATAGCAACAAGGCAACGTGATGCAAAGTGGCGGTCAAAAGATGTCAAAAGGATATGACGTTGACTTGGACTTGATTCAAAGCCATATCTGAGGAAGATGTTGAAGCTCCAGTGGGTGTAGAAGGGGCATGTCATGACTTTTGATCTAAGGAGTGCAGAGGTACTGAACTCTTGAATGCTCCTGGGCAGTGCGATTTGCTCCCGGGAGGCTGAGATCGAGCTCAAATGAAAGCATTGGGTAGCAGTGGGTACTGTAGCATGCCATATGGATCCATATGGAATATATTGAACAGAAGACAAATTGAATGCAAGTTGAATGCAACATGTTCCAATTTAATTGCGACCACCTTCTGAAGTTTCCGGCACAGTTGGACTACTCTACGTATGCTTTCCACCCGTAATCCTTCAGAGTGCAGTGAGTGTGATGCTTGATGCGACGTTCAGCCAATTTGTGTATATTTTCTCCAGGCGTTGGTCATTTTCGTCTTGGAACAACTTGTTTGCAATTGACAAAAGGGTGGCAGCCCTAGCGGGTTAGGGAAGACTCAAAGACTCCACAAGAGAACATACAAGATTCTCTAGCTTTGTTGCATAGCAAGAAATGGTCATATGAAAAAGGGTCTTGAGTAAGGGAGCCGTTTCATCCAGGTTCACCCAAGCAAAGAATAGCAAAGATCCGGGAAAGATATGGAAAGGTGATTTTCCGAAGTTCTCCCCTTCACTTTGTGTCATTCCCAGGCCACTGATAGCCTTGCCAATTCAGCAACGAATTGAAGAGGCTGAGGCGACCTAGACATGCCTTGCATTGGAATGTGTTCAATGAAATGTCTCGAACTTGAAACTACACTAAGTCTATGTATATAAAAGTCTATAAGATAGCGCTTGTAACTTATGTGTGTATAAGATATTTAAAAATTGTTTGCATAGAAATAAAGGTAGTATAGATACTGCCTGGTACATGTAAGTCGTTGCATACGTTTGTCATGAAGCACAACGAGATAGGTGTGTTGCCTATCTTCAGAGCTACATATCCGTACGAAAGCATGTACTGTACAAACTGGAGAGGATAGATGGCATCAAGATTGCATCAAGCACAAAGAATTATGGAAGGTCTTCGATGACTTTCACAGGTGGCTTTAGGACATCATAAGGTTTCTTGAAGATCGGAGGAATCAAAGTCTGAAATTTTACAATTACATACAATTACTACTTGTTGTATCCCACTTGGGGAAAAATTGGCAACAGTTGGATCAATGTGATGGAAGTGAAGCTTTGAAGCTTTGAATATCTTTGAAGATCCTTAAAGCTTTGCTGCTCATTTTCCCGATTCTCAGCAGACTCAGCAGACACTCAGCAGACTTCGCGCTGCTTCGCTCCGTGTCGCAGGCGGCCGAAGCCAAATTGAAAGCGGACTTGGACGGCCTGGGAGCGCTTCGAGAGCCTGGCAAGGCTGCGCCAAACATCGGTGACATCGGTGAACGTTTGTAAGACACATGTGGTGAACCTCTTAATGCAACGTGTGGAAATAGACTGATATGATTGATATGATTTGATATTATTGTAGAGCTTCGCACACCGGCGACGCCGGTAGGGATCGGGGGAGGGAAAGAGAGAGGGGGATGTCATCTGAACTTGCGAACATGACATGCTGAGGGTCGGCGGCCTATCTTGGGGCTATGTTGGCCCATCTTGGGGCTATGTTGGCCCATCTTGAGGCTATGTTGGCTTATGCCTAGTGTTGTAATTTACAGCATTTTGTGCTGTGAGATGGTAAGAACCCGTGTAAATATCACAGTTTTAGTCCCCGAAAGTGGCTAAAACACTCTTATTTACAGAGTTTCGTTCACATCACGATCTTCGATTTTTTGAAAAACGTGTAAATACCAGCGTTTTTTGCATTCATCAAGACAAAAAATCGGTTCAAAAAGTGCAAAACATGCTGTAATTTACAGGGGAGTGGCCCCGTCACAAGCAAAAAACTGCGTAAATGCCAAAACACCGCTATTTACAGTGTTTCGTGCCTTCCACGTTTGCTTGAAATTGCAGAAACATTGTAAATACCAGCATTTTTTGCGATCAACCCGCCAAAAATGCTGTAATTTACAATGTTTTTTTGCTTGGCTTTCAAAAACACTGGTATTTGCAGTGTTTTGTGCATCTCGGGTCCAAAAAGTACTGGTATTTACAGCATTTTCTGCGTTTCTGCATGGCTCCCGCCAACGACGGTAAAACGCAAAAATGTTGTAATTTACAGCATTTTGTGACTTCCGAAAAGCGAAAAATCGTCCGAAAAATGTGTCAAAACGGTACTTTTTCCCGATTTTTGGGACCTCCAAAACGCATCTTCAAATTTTACCCTCTTTTTGTCCACCCCAGACCCCGAAAAACGTGAAAACCCCACCAGGCTAAAGGATTTTTGGGGAGGGTCGGCGGCAGGGGCGCGCCCCCGGGTAGCTAAAGCTATGCTTAGCTTCCCCACACTACACGGCGAGGCGTCGCCGGACTTAAGGGCTGACGCCCCTCGTCGGCTCCGCCGGATTTCTCGACCCTCCATTTCATCGCAGTGCGGGCTTGAAAGCTTTTGGATGGGGACCTGCTTCAGAAATATATTCCTTATGTTTTTTGAAAAAAGTTCATGGAATAGGAACTTTGTTGGAAATAGACGGCTTTTTTGGGGAGCAAGTGAGTTCCTGAAAGCTCCTGCCAAGGGTTTTTCCCGAAGAACTGCTGCCAATTTCAACTTGTTACTTCGTGTAAAGGCGCCTCTGTGCAAAGACTTCTCTGTGTAAAAGCTTTTGTGTGTAAAAGTTTCTGTGTGTAAAAACCACTTCGTGTAAAGACTTCTTTGTGTAAAAGCTTCTGTGTGTGAAAGCTTCTCTGTGTGAAACGTCTGTGTAAAGATTTCGCTGTGTGTAAAAGCTTCCGTGTGTAAAAATTTTCTGTGTAAAGTGTAAAGGCTTCTCTGTGTAAAAGCTTCTGTGTGTAAACGCGTCTGTGTGTGAAAGCTATAAATCTGTGTAAAGACTTCTTTGTGTAACAGCTTCTGTGTGTAAAGGCTCCTAGACGTTTGTGTGCAAAAGCTCCTTAGAGTAAAGACTTCTCTGTGTAAAACCTTCTGTGTGTAAAAAGCTCCTTTGTGTAAATGCTTCTCTGTGTAAAAGCTTGCTGTGTGTGTAAATGCTTTTGTGTGTAAAAGCTCCTCTGTGTAAAGGCTTCTCTGTGTAAAAGCTTCTGTGTGCAAACGCGTCTGTGTGTAAAAACTCTCTCTGTCAGGCCTTCTTCGTGTAAAAGGTTCTGTGCGAAAAAGCTCCTAGACGTTTGTGTGCAAAAGCTCCTTGGAGCAAAGACTTCTCTGTGTAAAACCTTCTGTGTGTAAAAAGCTCCTTTGTGTAAGGACTTCTCTGTGTAAAAGCCCCTGTGTGTGTAAAAGCTTGCTGTGTGTAAATGCTTCTGTGTGTAAAAGCTCCTCCGTGTGAAGGCTTCTCTGTGTAAAAGCTTCTGTGTGCAAACGCGTCTGTGTGTAAAAAGCCCTCTGTGTAAAGACTTCTTTGTGTAACAGCTTCTGTGTGTAAAGGCTCCTAGACGTTTGTGTGCAAAAGCTCCTTAGAGTAAAGACTTCTCTGTGTAAAACCTTCTGTGTGTAAAAAGCTCCTTTGTGTAAAGACTTCTCTGTGTAAAAGCCCCTGTGTGTGTAAAAGTTTGCTGTGTGCAAATGCTTGTGTGTGTAAAAGCGCCTCTGTGTAAAGGCTTCTCTGTGTAAAAGCTTCTATGTGCAAACGCGTCTGTGTGTAAAAACTCTCTCTGTCAGGCCTTCTTCGTGTAAAAAGTTCTGTGTGAAAAAGCTCCTAGGCGTTTGTGTGCAAAAGCTCCTTGGAGTAAAGACTTCTCTGTGTAAAACCTTCTGTGTGTAAAAAGCTCCTTTGTGTAAGGACTTCTCTGTGTAAAAGCCCCTGTGTGTGTAAAGGCTTGCTGTGTGTAAATGCTTTTGTGTCTAAAAGCTCCTCTGTGTAAAGGCTTCTCTGTGTAAAAGCTTCTGTGTGCAAACGCGTCTGTGTGTAAAAGCTCTCTCTGTCAGGCCTTCTTCGTGTAAAAAGTTCTGTGTGAAAAAGCTCCTAGACGTTTGTGTGCAAAAGCTCCTTGGAGTAAAGACTTCTCTGTGTAAAATCTTCTGTGTGTAAAAAGCTCCTTTTGTGTAAGGACTTCTCTGTGCAAAAGCCCCTGTGTGTGTAAAAGCTTGCTGTGTGTAAATGCTTTTGTGTGTAAAAGCTCCTCTGTGTGAAGGCTTCTCTGTGTAAAAGCTTCTGTGTGCAGACGCGTCTGTGTGTAAAAAGCCCTCTGTGTAAAGACTTCTTTATGTAACAGCTTCTGTGTGTAAAGACGTTTGTGTGCAAAAGGTCCTTAGAGTAAAGACTTCTCTGTGTAAAACCTTCTGTGTGTAAAAAGTTCCTTTGTGTAAAGACTTCTCTGTGTAAAAGCCCCTGTATGTGCAAAAGCTTCTGTGCGACTCCTCCATCCAGCTTTCTTTTGGGTCACGCTGTCGTCCAGTTTCAATCTGCAACATCGTTTCTTGTGGAAGAATGCAAAGAACAGGTGAAAGCATCGCGCGTTTAAAAATTGAACATAAACAGCGCACAAAGTGCTGTAATTTACAGCATATTGCGCTGTCAGATGGCAAGAACCCGCGTAGATACCGCAGTTTTAGTCCCCGAAAGTGGCTAAAACACTGTTTTTTACAGGGTTTCGTTCACGTCACGACCTTCGATTTTTTGAAAAACGCGTAAATACCAGCGTTTTTTGCGTTCATCAAGGCAAAACATCGGTTCAAAAAGTGCAAAAAATGCTGTAATTTACAGGGGTTTGGCGCCGCCACGGGCAAAAAACCGTGTAAATACCAACGTTTCGGCGTCCGAAAGTGGCTAAAACACCGCTATTTACAGTGTTTCGTGCCTTCCACGTTTTCTTGAAATTGCAAAAACAGTGTAAATACCAGCATTTTTTGCGATCAACTTGCCAAAAATGCTGTAATTTACAGTGTTTTTTTGCTTGGCTTTCAAAAACGCTGGTATTTGCGGTGTTTTGTGCATCTCCGGTCTAAAAAGTATTGGTATTTACAGCATTTTCTGCTTTTTTTCATTGCTCCCGCGAAAGACGTCAAAACGCAATTACAGCATTTTGTCCATTTCGAAAAGCGAAAAATCGTCCGAAAAATGTGTCAAAACGGCGCTTTTTTCCGATTTTAGGTACCCTCAAAACGGGGGGGGGGAATGCTCTTGGAGACGCTTATGAGCGACCCGGATTCCGGCCAAAAAGCTCTCCCCCACCCTCCTGAAGGATTTTTGGTGTTTTTCGGGGCCCGGCGTCGGAGGGTCGGCGGTTGGGGGCGCGCCTCACCTTAGAGCTCTAGTCGCTCTGGGACGCTCGTAGGGCAAGCCACTCGTGGGGAGCCGGCGGAGCCGAATTTAAGCGCTTACGCGCGACAGCCGGCCAGGGGCCCAACTATGTTGGCCCATCTTGTGGCTATATGTTGGCC